GGGGACTGTCTACCATGTCTGTAAACTCTTAACAGCCTTCTGTCCAGCTGGGAAAATACGTTTTTCAAGATATCGCCTGAGAACCATGATTCAGTTTTTCCTCTAGACACACTAATATAATTATTCGTTCGTATTTCGCATTCTAATTTTTGGACGACAGTCAATTGCGAATACTATGTGATAATCAGTTTTAATTAAGGAATAAAAGACGAAATTCCGTGTTTGATACTCTGATCAAAACACGCGGGATGTAGGGAGAGCACGAGAGAAGCGTAGGAAACCACGACGCGTAGCGGAGTGGTTTCCAGCTTTTCGAGTGCTCTCCCTACATCCCAAGTGTTTTGATCAGAGTATCAAACACGGAATTTCGTCTTTTATTTCTTTTCTAAAATTAACAGAATACGAATTGTAAAGAATTCTGACTTTTGATACGATATGAAACGATGAATTCTCCTTACATTGCAGTTGTCTGCAGCTTCTGTAGCTTCTAAAACGTTTGATAGCTCTTCTTCTGGGATATCATCCCAGAGGACATCATAAATAGGCATTTCTTCGTTCATTGTTCTTGAAAATGAATGATAACAACAACAAATGCAAACGGCGGGAAAAAAGAAATTTTTGACGCGCGCGAGCGTGTTTTGATACTGTAATCAAACATGGTTTTCGACCAATCACAGCGCGCGTAGTATCCTAAATATTTTAGAAACTGTAATCAAACATGGTTTTCGACCAATCACAGCGCGCGTAGTATCCTAAATATTTTAGAAACCACATTAAAAGTGTAAAATGCATTGTTTTCATAAGATCTTTTCTAATGGGAATTAAAAAAATGTGTTTACTATCACCCTTCCCTAACAAATGTGACAAATGAGATTGATTTGATAATTTTATGTACTCCATCTATTATATACAATTAAATGTATTGTTGGATACAATTTGTTCAATATGCCGGCAATTCGCCACATTCTATATGGATCGAATATGGATGTATTGTTGCATATGTTTTACAGACGTCACGTATACATCGGTAAGCTAACTATCCTCGTTTTGCACTTGATCAGGTACTATTCATGTCTTATCACTGATCTGGTATAAAGCTAAACGTCTTTATAAATGGAATAAATTGTCCTCCATCAAATAACTTAACATTCGTATATTTCAAATGTCCCATCTCCATCATGAAATCAAGGCTACGAAGTGATTTCATTTTTTGCTTCGTCTTGTTCTACCTGGTTTTTAGGCTTTTGTCTTCCAAAAACGTAGCTTATGATTAAGTCAAATATTTCGAAAAATGTTAGAATACTGCATCCCAAGAACAGACCAAGATTGCCACCAACATCCGCTGAAGAAAAAGAAAAAGAAACATAGACTAAATGTTTTTTTTTCTAGCTTTCTGTCAGGCGCGTAGCGTGGACGTTTTGGCTAGTACGCACATGTCGGGGACTGCGACACATATTTTTGATCTGGGAGGCCCAATGACCGCCAAAAGCGGGAGTATTAAGGTAGTCTGGATCTCCCCCAAGAGATTTTGAAATAATAACTCTTGGAAATGCGATTTCCAGCGTTTTGAGGGACATCGAGGGCATATAAAAGGGATCAATTTTATGTCAATTTTCAGCAATTTTTGTGAAAGTTTTATTATTTCTTTGCCACTAGTACGCACGTGCGTGCGTAAAGGTTGCTACTCTCCTGTCTATTAAAGGTGATATATCGATGAAAAACATTAACACATTCAACTTACATCCAAAATCGTTGATGCTATACCTTTCTCTTTCAGTAGTTTTGTGTGTGTAAAGATCTTCATATTGTATAATGAAAATCAGTTGGTTTTTTCTAAAAGATCAAAAGGTGGTCAACAAATAGWATACGAAACCTTGGGGGACTCCCTTATAAAAGTTGGTAGGTATGCTCAACGGACGGATTGAAATAATTGAATAATTGAATATTACTTGAATTCTGATTCTGTCAAATGTTGGGGCACGGTGCTATATTTTTTGAGTATCATTTCAGTGTAGTCTTTCCAATACGACTCCGACATTAAGGACATAACGTTGATCCCTGTAGTTTTGTACTGGATTTGCTTGCATTTTTTTGGACAGTCACATTTTTCGTTTGAGAAAGAATTATCTGAAAGAAAAATAATACATTGACATCTATTTAATGTGTCAATGAAATGCTCTATACTTACCAAGATCAATAACGTATGTGAACAAAATTTTTTTGATGTTTCGAATGACAGTGTGTGGATCCAATGCACTGACATTGGCATACACTCCACAAGATATCATTTCANCCAAAATAGGTATCAATACGAAACCTCTAAAGCGATCTACAATCTTTCGTAGTTAGCGTCTTGGATGATAGTAGTTACAAGTTTTCCTCCGTTATTTTGACACAGGAATCCCAATATAGGTATCAATACGAAACGATCTACAATCTTTCATAGCCAGCGTCTTACTAAAAATACATCATTATAAAGAATTCTAGTGTTCTTTAAAAAGGTTTTCAAACTGTTTTCCTGTGCATCACAATTTCCCCAGGGACTGGGGGAGGATTCAATACAAAGTCCCCGCATCCCCCCTTCCCCTCGGGGAAGCCGATGACAAGGTGCACTAATATAATATTGAAAGTGTAAGATGCTTTGTTTTGATAAGATCTTTTCTAATGGAAATAAAAAGAATGTGTACTATGATCCCACAAATGTGACAAATTGGATTGATTTGATAATTTTATGTAATGCATCTATTATATGCAATTCTCCTATTGCAGTGCGATCAATAATCAATAGATCAATAATGCGCAAATAAAACATTAAATAAAACAGAGACTCGGTTTTTGGCAGAATTAGAGGTTTATTGACAACTAAGCAAATAAGGCTACGACTAACACGGTCCGCAGAACGCAGTCAAACAAACCTCTCAGCCACCATACGTGTGGGAGGGAGGGTGAAAAAAACTTTAACTAAAACTATTGAGAACAACGCTTATATCTAGTAACTGAATAACGAATAATCACAAATGTAATATGAACTATAGTAATCTAATCTCATAGGCACAGGATCCCTTCCCGTCTTTTAATAATGATCAAAATCTGCCAATCAAATGTAGGATTGAATACAATTTGTTCAATATGCCAGCAATTCGCCACATTCTATATGGATCGAATATGGATGTATTGTTGCATATGTTTTACAGACGTCACGTATACATCGGTAAGCTAACTATCCTCGTTTTGCACTTGATCAGGTACTATTCATGTCTTATCACTGATCTGGTATAAAGCTAAACGTCTTTATAAATGGAATAAATTGTCCTCCATCAAATAACTTAACATTCGTATATTTCAAATGTCCCATCTCCATCATGAAATCAAGGTTACGAAGTGATTATTCATTTTTTGCTTCGTCTTGTTCTACCTGRTTTTTAGGCTTTTGTCTTCCAAAAACGTAGCTTATGATCAAGTCAAATATTTCGCAAAATGTTAGAATGCTACATCCCAAGAACAGACCAAGATTGCCACCAACATCCGCTGAAGAAAAAGAAAACGAAACATAGACTAAAATGATCATTCAGAACAATATAAATGGCTCTTCATCTACTTCTGCCTACATTTATTCCTACATCTCATCAGTTTCCTTTCTACATCTCATATTTCCTTTTCCACCTCATCATCCATCTCCTCCTATTCTTCCATATCCCTTTTCACCTCCTTCACCTCCCCTCACTTCTCTTTAATCTTATATCCCTCTTCTACCTCTTTCACGTCATCGGTATCTTCCGTTTCCAATAGACGAGTTTAGATATTTTGGTTCAGTGACCATGCACAAAAGAATTGCAGACGAGGCTCCGGGGAAATAAAGAATAAATCAAGATTATCCATTGATAATTTTATTTTTTTTAATATTTSAAAGAGTTATTTTGAAGTGCACGCTTCAAAATGACCAATCAAAGAGCGTATAATATCGTTTTATTCTTTATTTCCCCGGAGCCTCGTCTGCAATTCTTTTGTGCATGGTCACTGAACCAAAATATCTAAACTCGGCTATTCCAGTTGAATTTCCTGATCCTCAGACCTTCTTCATCATCTCTTCAACCTCTAAAGACTAGTGTTAGTTTCCATCACTTCGTCCATTTTCACTACTCCTTTTTAACCTGGGACCTCCTCTTGCAGCCACCATTTCCATCTCTTTCTACTTTTCATCTCCTAGTAACTTCCTTCGTCTTAGACCACCTCTTGCAAATCTTTCTTCTCTTTCACCTCCTTCATCTTTAGAGCCTTCTTTATTATTGCTCCTTTCACTGTCCAACCTTCCTCATTCATTCAATCCTCTCCTCCATGCATATATCTCATTCTACTTCCATCTCCTTCTCATGTATCTTCAATCACCTGTCTCTTTCAACCCGGCACCTATAATACCCCTCTAATGTCTTCGTCCAACTTTTGCACATTTTTTTCCTAGCTTTCTCTCAGACGTGTAGCGTGGACGTTTTGGCTAGTACGCACATGTCAGGGACCGCGACACATATTTTGGATCTGGGGGGTCTAACGACCGCCAAAGGCGGGAGTATTAAGGTAGTCTGGACTTCCCCCAAGAAATTTTGAAATAACAACTCTTTTGAGGGACATCGAGGGCATATAAAAGGGATCAATTTTATGTGAGTTTTTAGTATATACGTGCGTATATACGTAAAGGACGATATGCTCCTGTCTATCAAAGGTGATATATCGATGAAAAACATTAAGACATTCAACTTACATCCAAAGTCGTTGATGCTATACCTTTTTCTTTCAGTAGTTTTGTGTGTGTAAAGATCTTCATATTGTACAATGAAAATCAGGTGTTTTTTTCTAAAAGATCAAAAGGTGGTCAACAAAACGTATAAAGCGGCTTGTGGAGGAAGTAATAGCAACTGATGACTATAATATAACAGGAACACCTAAATTCTTAATAATGGCTTAAGAAAGTATTCTATCATRTTATCATAACAAGGGGATTGAAATGTGTAACCGCCTACGTTTCTTGTGCTCCATATGCTGTCCGTTGAAACTAGTCAGACATCTTTACGCTTTCAAAATACTACAAACTAAGACACAAAATTATGCATATAGTGAAGTGACAGCCTTTAAAAACCCAAGAAAATTAGAATATTTTTGACTTTGGTAATCAAAATTATGCTAATTAAKCAATTTGAATATTACGCGAAGTCACAAACAGTGCTACACGTTTTAATCCCCTTAGGGGTTACTGTGAACAAATATATTACTTGAAATATGCTTCTGTCAAACGTTGGGGCACGGTGCTATATTTTTTGAGTATCACTTTAGTGTAGTCACTCCAAAACGACTCCGACGTTAAGGACATAACGTTGATCCCTGTAGTTTTGTACTGAATTTGCTCGCATTTTTTTGGACAGTCACATTTTTCGTTTGAGTGAGAATTATCTGAAAGAAAAATAATACATTGACATCTATTTAATGTGTCAATRAAATGCTCTATACTTACCAAGAGTAATTAAGTATTTGAACAAAATTTCTTTGAGGTTATCCATGCCGAGAGTTTCTGGATTCAGTGCACTGGCATTGGCATACACTCCACAAGAAATCATTTCATATGGCTTGCAGTACTTCGTACCATTGAACTCTGAAAATTAAAGTCAATCCTTCTTTAAAATCTCTAGTCTCCTCGTAGCCGTTCTTAGTGGCGGGCTCCCTTTTTCCCGCCACTAAGAACGGCTGCGAGCTATAAAATATCCCGAGGAAAGAGTTTCCGAGCGAGAACGTTTGGTGTTGTCCTTATCGTCAGGACTTCCCCGGAACCTTAAATTGCACTAAATCGCCTTAAATCRCACTAATATCGTCCATTATKGGCCATGGCCATGAACAAAGCTTATATAGGGTMAAATCTCTGGATTGCTTAATCCTACCTGGTAGTTCAGACATTCCTAGAAGTTTGCAACCACAATGTTCGATTACTTTACGTGTACTGCATTCCATCAGGCAYMWGCTTTGSGTGTAAACATTGGAAGTCTTGAGATYTCTGCTTCCACAAGCTRACTTGAATGGAGGCGGAAGACTGATGTACTAATGTAAAAAATAACAATCTTCAAATATTCCCCTTAATTTTGAACGCAGGAGATTAGATTCAAACTGATTTCCATCCACAAGTGATCAGGGGAATTTCTATATCAATGCATTGTAAACGCGAGAAAATTTCTACTCGGTAGCTTTCCCGAACAAACGTCGGCCGAAGAGAAGTGAGAGACTTTTCATCAATATTAAATATATTTAGCCTTCAAGTAAAATATTCAATTTTGAATGATTCAAATGTTATAATTTTTCCCTCTCCAGTTTCATGCCATACATTAATACATTAACTGGGCCGAAAGCTCGATTAGCACTAATCCTGGGTTAATTCTTAAAAAAACCTATGGAGTTGACATAATATTATGACGTATGACTTTACTCTTACTTCTTCTCTTTGGATCTTCATTGTTGTTATGTGACCCGGCATAATATCGATGCCATCAACCGCTACAATGGGTTCCTCAACTTGATCATGTATTACCAAACGTATTCCAGTGTTGATGTAACTCGTAATACCATAGTAGTCATCCTGGTCAATGTCGATCATTACATGAAAACCGTGGCTTCTTCTAGTAGAAGTCGAGTAGAGAAGAGGATGACCATCTCGTCCAGAATTGAATGTGTGACAAAGGCCATACTATGTACAATACAAAAAACGGTTTATTTAATTGGGTATGAAAATATATGTCATTTGCTCAAACATTCGATGGATCGCGTTCACATTTTTATTTTTAACTTTTTTTTGATAGCCTGCATGGCCAGATGAAAGATTGCCATTAGCTTTTTTGCAAATTTCTGAATATTTTAATTGTAAAATGGGCAATTAGCGCCAAACAATAGAGTTATATGTAACGTTAATAAAAGTCTATGTTGGGGCTCTGATAAACAACTCTTTTCATTAGAACATTATGCAGTGCCGCAGTAGGAAGTGATGGTTTCAAGATAATATATATTTAAATTTTTAAGTTTCATAACGTATATTGTAACAGGTGCAACTAGCTTGCATCTAATTTGTTTCGTCTCTTATTTTGTCGGATGACCTACAGCAGTATTGCCTGCCCAGGCAAAGATTTCCAAAATTATTTTTTTAATTTGAATAGATTTACCATGCTATTCTAAAAAAAAAAACTAGATGCCAGCTTGCTATGGATTAGCAATTTGACGTCTTTGACTCTGAAGTAATGAAGATTTTGTGTGTGACCAAGTCAACCTTTTAGAAGTTTCGAACATTCCCGTAGCCATAACTGAAGTTTATCATGTCCTTCTACCCTAGCAAACCTTCAAAATTCGCTTCCCATGCAATTCAAGTTTTCTCAATTCATTTTCTATCCTGATTTTAAACTTAGATAAGTATAGAATACCTATATGGTATTAGAGAGAGATACTCACAACATGAGAAAATCGAGTGGTAAAGTTGCGGTAGCTGCAAAATTCTTCGTCCCATACACAAACATCTATTAAGTCATCTGCTGTGTGGCCATACTTCAGCACGGCCTTCTCTATATYGAAAGAGCTGTCCAAAGTCTTATTTGAGAGTGACAGTACTTTACTGAAAGGATTCAGCTGGTCCAGATAAACCTGTGCATCTGTGCCTTCAATACGAGATTTTCTCATCATGTTTSCATTGCATATGGTAATAGCTGGGAATTTTAACTKATTGCTTGAATCTATGATATCTTTGGTAATCACATAGTCGTTTGATTTCAACTGCTCGTAACTTGCGACCAGTTGAATTGTCAGGAACACCAAACCTGTCAGGATCAAGAGCAACCAGAAAACTCGACGCACTATCCCTTTGTCAGCACCGAGAACAAAATGAGCTCCATGCAAGGTCGTGTTGCTAGAAAATTCTTCAATATGCTGTCTTAGATTTCGCCTTCTATTCGAAGGGTGGATGTTTTCCGACKCACTCATATTGACATGATCTTCAATAACTGTTGCCCTCTGCAATAATTTAAATACCGCCCGGCTACCGTGTTTTTCATGTTATTATTAGTTTAAAAGTTTACAATAATTAGCCTCAATTACCAACTCGTTTTAAAACATATCCTAATTTAACATTTAATTCGGTGTATGTAATTGTTTAGATGGCAATTTCGGTTCATAACTGGCTTTTGTAATGAGTTTTCAGATTTTCTGTATTGAAAACAGATAATTGTATATTCAGACTGCAGATTGAATTAGAACGAAAAAAAACAAAATTCTTTGACTGTTGCTGTTTTATTAGTATTAATTTTACATTTCAAGATGGCCGGCGCTTTTGACGCTTTTGACATTATATTCATGTGTATTACAATGTACACCATTAATTCTAAATGCAGAGATTTCCAAGACGACCGCGGCTGCCGGCTGTGGAGCCTAGATTTAAAATTTTGAAATGGAACTTGTCATTTCTTCCTTGGCAACAATAAACAAATGCATTGAAATGCACTCTCAACATTTGCMATWATTGACTTGCCTCACTTYGAATTGAGCCTCAAATGACAATTTTTAAATAATTTTCTTAGAAAATGAACATTTTTTGGACATATCTTTGAGTGTAGGAGTTTATATTCTAAAGTTAAAGAACATCGTCCAATGCTAGTGACATTATTGGAACCAAGCTATTGTAGGTCTCTTTGAGATTCACAAACATCTTTTAAGTGTAACTTTTATATGAATTAGTGTTGAAATATATAACTACAAATAAATGCAGTCACGGAATCCGAGRTGGAACGTTGAAGAAACAAGTAGMRGACTAYACATAAATCCTAGTTTAACCCAACCCTAACAAATYAATGTATTCTTTGATGTCATTTGTTTCTCGTTGCCAAGGAAACACATTGCAAGTAATTCAATCTTTAATATCTTTTAGACTGATCTGATTATGGAATATATATCGATGAATATGTCATGTAAATCATTTGACT